ATATTATGTGACGATAGCCATTTTGATTGCGGGATTAAGACCAATTAATTTTTTAAATAACGTTATATCTAGAATCTAGAAAAATGGAAGCGTCGCATGATGATATGATGGTCCATTACTCATTGAGCAATAATTATAAATCATAATAATAATGGAACAAGAAAAAAGGACCCCAGGATCGTAAAAAGTACATTTAAGTTTTTTTTTCTGGTTGCGTTTGTATCTTTAATCATTCCTAATCAGGTAATAGTGATTTGAAATGAAACCCTTTTAAATTTATCTTTAAATAGTAAAAAATTATATAGCGATTTGCAACATTTCCAATACTATTGTTGGAACATTATGTTCGAACTTTTGAAAGCATGTAGAAACTGATTTTCAATTTTTTTAGAAGTGAAAAATTTTATCTTTGTGTTGTGGTTTTTGAAAGAATATTATTTGTGTAAAGATATTATAACAGTAAAAACTATATTTGAACTCAATTTGAATGAAATAAGTAGTAATTACATAATCCAATATAAGAAATTTCCCAATAGAAAAAAAAATATAATTCAATAAAGTTTTTATTGTGGATCTTTATTGATTTTAGGCAGCACAGACGAAATATTGATCAATTCTCTAAGTAGGTATTTTAATTCTATAGATTAAAAGTGCTAAGGCCGTTATCAATAATATATTTAGTAGTCAAATAGTATTCTTACAGGAGATACTAGTAGCTGTACAATAAAATTATGTTTACAATCGACGTCTTTGTACTACAAAATAGTGATCTAAAACGCTTTTAATCGAAAAAATAAAACTTAAAAGTTACGATATTTGAATCACTTGTCCCACTGCTGACTATGAACGAGAAACTAGAAACCAGATGGCGAGCAGCGGGAAGCGAGTGTGTAGTTCATATAGTTTTATCGCGAGTGTGCGATTACAACGGGCGATTACTCGCGCCACTTGCTCGCGGTGACAGTCCTGAGCAAAAATGCACGCGATGCTTCGCTTACTGTTCACACTGCCGGCGAGAACTAGCTCCGCTATTTGTCGCTGAGCGACAAGAGTTATCAAAGATAATATTCGCTCAGCAACGCTAGCTTGGCCGTCAAAACGCATGCGAGACAAAGACAACTGCCTTAAATTATTAATTATAACATACCTATATCAAAAGTACGCGTGTATCAAACAAAAAAGCACCAAGAGAGATCTAAGATTTCAACTAAAATGCGGTTGACGGTCGCACTCAGAGAGGTCTATAAACTATTAGGTAAAATTTTGAACGGGGTCTGCGTTCAAAATTTACAAAACGAAGACTACGCTTGGATTAGTTACTCCATGTTTTGTCTCTGTCTATGGAATGACATATGGTATTTGAGTGACATGAAATAAACACGGCGAGAGATAAATTAACTTATCAATTTTGAAGTTCGATTAAAGTTGGTGCTGCCATTTCTTTTCGTTAACACCCGAATAAAACATCAAGTGACTTAAGAAAGCGTTAAATTTAATTGACGTCTGAGTACGAACGGCAGACCTGATCATTATGAACCTATTCATCTATCTGACTCTGCGTATTATTGATAACGGCCTAAAAAAAATCGCACCTCCTTTTAAGTAGATTCCATATATTGCCCTTGAATCTTAAGTAAATTTTATTAATTTTAAAACACTGGTTTATTTAAATTTGAGAAACAAATAAATGCCATCGTCGTTAGACTAGTAAAAATGATTATTTTTCTAATCTATTAAATGAAAGACAGATGTGCTGAAAAGAGACTGAATATATAAATTTCCTTAATACACGTTATAAACTAAAATAACAATTGTTATTATGTCATAAATAATTCTAATGTTGATTTACTAATGATGTTAAAGGAAAAATAATGAAATAATTCGGAAAAGGATACAAAAATTCATGTATAAGGATAGAGCAAATTTTTCATGCCGACACTACACTTGGCTATTCGTGTTTGCTATTTGTAAACTTGACATGAGTCTGTCCTTTTCAATCCTTATAGAACATGATAAGGACAACAGTCTGTTCCTTTTCAATCCTTATAAAGCATGATAAGGACAACAGTCTATTCCTTTTCAATCCTTATAAAGCATTATAAGGGTAACAGTCTGTTCCTTTTCAATCCTTATAAAACATGATGAGGACAGACTGTTGTCAAGTTTCCAATTAGAAAATACGAATAGCCAAGTGAAGTGCCGACATCACTCATATTTCGTTTTGCCGGTTTACTTTAGGTAGTATTTTGTCAGGAGTCTTCCATTTGCAAAATAAATAAGTAAATAGCCACAATTTCAATTCACCCGAACATAAAAAAACAACATTCAATAATCACGTAACTCCAAAACAGTAAAGTTTCAGATCGCAAAATGAAAAATCAGTCGAAACAAGACAAAAATATACAATACGACGACCTTTAAAAAAGGCGTCAATAAAAAAAAATAACTTAATCTACAACTTAATACGAAATAAATACTGTAAGTACTATGATAATCGTAAACGATAATACGGCAGGCTATATCAAAAGCGGCTTGTGCGCAAACTTTAACAACCGTTTCAAATTTTTTATTTAATACCATTTAATTATGAAGTACCATTTCAAGGAACCAATATACTTTCATAGTTTAATTTTATATTCATTAATTTTAGTTATCGATACACATATTCCAAGATTAGCATTTGTTACAACACAAAAATACGATACTTTATATTTGACACTTTACAATAATAACATTCATAACGAGGGCACATTTTGATAACAGTCAGCATCAAAGTGGTAGTAAAGATGAATTTATAATAAGTATGTTAGACGCTGCGCAGACCTAGACATTTATGTTACTGACACTGCACACTAGGGCGACCTTGTTTTTTCTATCAAATATAGTATTTTCGAAACTGTTATTAACTCTAAAGGATAGATAGTAAAGTTTTAAAAAAAATGTGTATTCAATTTTTATTTTGTTTTTAAATATTTTCATTGTAAGGGAATTTGCTTTGATTATTTACTCCCTAGATAGAGCGTGGCAGCGCAGATGCGTTGAAAAAAATATCTCACACTTGGTGGGGTTTAAGTAGTTTTCCGTCACTTTCGTTAAAATAAAAATATAACAAGGTCAAAATTAGTTTACGGTTTGTTTCTATTTTTCTTTTAGCTATAGTAAATAGTCATTTACTTGGTCATCAATCTTTAAAACAGAGTAGAGTATTTTGACCAAACGATTTGCTTTTATTTAAAAGTTAAGTGTACGAAAAATTACTTAAATAAAATTATATTTTAAAGTCACAAAGTTTACTAGATTGTAAAAAAAAAGTTTTGCGTCACAGATGCATGAATAATAATATGTAAAATTTTAAAGGAAAATAATATTAAACTATTAAATTCAGGGCATTCATCATAATAATTTTAAAAACAACCATTTTGCTGTTTCTTTCTATATTATCATGACTGTTATTTCCGTAATAAACTAATTAAATTAAATTTTGTAAAAAATAATTATAATATCCAAGTATAAATTTACACGTTTTACAGATGTTTCAACATGTATGATTTTTAATTGTTTGAACAATATACTTATTTTGATTTGATTAAATTTACCCATTCTTTTGGGAATGTGGCCTAATTTACAACATTTCGCAAGAGTAAGATAAAAAATTGGCGTGTTATGTTTTGCGTATCACGCACACAAGTATATAAAACCACATATACTTGTGTGCTAAAAGAATATATATGATATAATGATAGAAAACACTGTTTATTTGTATTGAAACGAAAACAATACAATCAGTACCCTTAGTACGAGTGTGAGATCACGAAAACTATCATAGTTTTCGTAATTGTAAAACTCGTACTAAGGGTAATGTTTTTATCGCAGCGTTTACAAGGTGACGCTCTATCTAGAGTACATAATCAAAGGAAATTTGTTAATGTTGCTTGTGTCTTCAACTGACGACTTTTAGTTTCAAATAACCGACACCGAACAGTTTTTGATCGTCAACGAGTATGTGTAAAATGGAAGCAACTGGACACAAAAAATTTTTACGTCTGAGCAGGGAGCAGCTGATTTTATACTTTAGAAATCAAATATTGATAGCTTTTATCCGACACAAGACAGAAGTGTCTAGTGAAGAGTTGAAAAATGTATGCCTTTTGTTACGTTGAAGTGTTTTTGGCACTCACTATATGATTGATAACTGTAGACTATTTTATGTTAGTTAAGTTTTAAAACTGTTAAAAACAGTTTTAACATTTTTTATTGCTGACTGTACATTGTGCATTAAACTTCATCATGGTTAGTCAAATATAATATTTCATGTTAAGTGTCGCAATGTAAACTTGCATATTCCCAAAACAATATTAATACAATATTATTCAAAAATTACCCAAAAGTCTGTTTAAGTGTTCACGAAGTGTCTTTAAATGAATTTTAGATTTAAATATAAGAATATAAGAATTAATTTCACCAAGCCTCTTTCGATATAGATTACCTTGCCCGTTTCGGGCGACTAAAGGCCAGTTACAATAAAATCAAACTCCAGTAAGATATAGGCTTACTAGAGCTTTGTTGCCTAGACATTTTTATTATATCGACCATAATGACAATAGGCTATTTGACTACTTATGAATTCTGTTGCGAATATTAGTAAAAAATGGAAATTAAAAATTTTGTTTCAAAATATGCCGCAGAAACGTTTCTCTAGCCAAATAAGGCGTGTTCATAGGCATGTGACGTCACACGGCTCTCGTTAAAATGTCAAACAGTACAAAGTAATAACACTTCTACGGCATGTTACCAAGCTGGTTACGTGACAATAGAACAAAAAATACTTTTCTATTTCATAATAATGCACAAACAAAATAGACATACCAACAATTGGTACTTTATTTTTCATACTGTCAAATGGCCTATTGCGATGTGTTTCTTAGAAACGGAACTCGATTATCATTAACCTTTTACTGGAGGTTGATTATTGAAACTGGACAAGGCTTTGGTGCAAGTACCTCCGAGCGCAGTCCGAGATTATGGCCAACGTATTCGATACTCCGTTACAGTATTGGACTAGCATGAAAATTCGTTTCCGATACGCCGTCTTAAGGTGCGGCACTCTTAAATTCTTCTTCATCAAACTCCCTTTTCTCATCTGAAATATGACGAATGATAAATTATGCCACTCATTTAACATAAAGAATTTTTTTACTAGAAAAAATATCCACTCGGTCAAGGTGTCAGCAGGATTCGAACTTGCACCTTCTGGTGGATACCTGGATAGGTAGAGGCACTAACTGCACTAACAGATCAGAATATATACTAGCTAACCGGTATGCTACCGAAACCTTAATAGCCGCGTCGAATTTCATAGGCTGTATTGCAGACGTAAAATGTAGCTAGAAAATTCTTTTGAAATTGGAAATTTTCGTACATTTAGTTTTGCTCCCATCTAATTTTTACATATAGAATAAAAAAGAGACTAAGATATCGCACCTCCGCTCCGGTGGGACACTGTCACTTATGCAAAAAATCATTTTTTCAGGAGAAGCGTTTAAAACTTTAACATCACAAAACATACAATATTGTCGTTTTTAAATTTTTTTTTAGATGAATAAGCTAAGCAGTATAAGCTTTTCATCACGTAAAAATCTTTAAATATTGTTGATCTAATCCCAAATGCAACCTTCCAACACGCTACTAATACTGTTTGGTTGTGTAATACGTATAGTCTATGCGGCAGTGTACGCTCAAACGTCATTGCATTACTTCTATGCTTTAGTTCTTGTTCTTAGGTATGGACTAGCGGCCGCCCGCGACTTCGTCCGCGTTAACTTTAGTTTTTTTTTTATAAAATAAAAGTAGCCCTAGTTACTCCTTGTTACATCAGCTTCCTGTCAATAAAAGTCCCATCAAAATCGGTACAGCCATTTCAGAGATTAGCGGGAACAAACAGACAGACAGACAAGAATTTTAAAAATTGTTATTTTGGTGTATTCATATTCATGTAGTAAAAAGCGGTTATTTAAATATTACAAACAGACACTCCAATTTTATTTATATGTATAAATATAATCTCACCTTTCACCAATAAGTGTGAAGTCGTAAACAGTCTCCGGCTAGATCGGCCAGTAACGCCCGTTTATTAGGCAATAGAGTTATTCCGGCCACTCGTCTAGGCTTCTTATCTGCGAGTTCACACGCGGCTAATATCCGTCCAGTGCCGCTAGCTTCTAGAACTACTAGCGCCGGTCTTCCCTTCACGGACCTAGTGCAAACTATGCGTAAACCACTGTCTGAGGATTGGTCTAGAGCTATACCGCCGTAACCGCCACGACCTGGGGGAAAATAATGGTAGTTTCTTTTATTTAAGGTTTAGAAAACAATGGATTTTTAATTAGAACTTAAGAACAACATAAAAAGGCAATCAACCTATACAGTAACAATGCGAGCGGAAATCAGTAGCGATAATAGCTGAAATAGCTGTAATTAGGGAAGTAAGACACTGTTTCTACAAACTGAGGGTAGTTTGGTAATTTGAAGAAGATTGCTTTGACTTTTCATATAAAAAAAATACTATGCCATTTTTCAAATAAAATATAGGTATTTAATGACTTTATACGTTAGTTCAACCGCGTAAACTTAAGATAAAAATCCTTGTAAGGGGCCATTCAAAAATTACGTCAAACTTTTAAGGAATGGGAGTCAACGCAGTGTGAGGAATCATGTTTGGTTACGTTACGTTACATTTCAAAATCTTATCTATCTTCCGAACCCAATTCTTGAAGTATTTATCTCACTCAGTGCGGCCGTGATTCCAAGATGTAAAATTGCATTTTTTCCGATATAAAAAGTATCATTATGCCCTAAATCCAGGCAATAAAATATGTGAAATTTAACTCAAATGCGTTTCTGCTTAATCGAGTCAGACAACTTTACAAACAATCACATAATTTTAATAGGATAGGTCATTAAGTTTACCTTTAGGTACAGGAGCTATTGTGGATTTCAGGTTACCCTCGATATCGTAAATTCGCACAGCCACGTCAGCTACCACCAATGTGTCTTCGGAGAGAGCCAAACCACCCACTAGACCGAGGTCACCGTTGCCGACCTGAAAAGCACAGAGATTGAAAGAAAATTTTTGGTCACCCATCTTATGACCGGCCATTGCGAAAAGGCTTAACTTTCACTATCGCAGACAGAACGCGCTAACCTGGTCCATCGATCTATTCAATTATTATTAAATACTAACGGATTGAGCAGACCTGCCCGATAAAAAACATCATCAGCCTATTAATGTCCCCACTGCTGGGGTACAGGCCTCCCCTATGGATGGAATAGGGAGATTGGGCTATGACCCACCACGCGGGCCCAGTGCGGATTGGCGGGTGCTAACGATGCAGCCGGGACCAACGGCATAACGTGCCTTAACGGAACTCGAGATAGAAGATTTTCGGTCACTCATCCAATGACCGACCACTGCGAAAGTTGCTTAATTTCAACGATTGCAGCCGAAACGCTAACCACCCGCGCCATCGAGCTCCTCCTATAAATAATAAAAATGATAATAATAAAAAATATATCCCCCGATAAAAATAATCAAAATAATCCTAAGGCCCGATTGTAGTGGCACCTATCGACAAGGGTTGTGAGTTAAGTAAAATCAAATTTTTGTAATTAGCAACTTTCGAATTTGTTTCCAGTGAGAACGCAGGCCCATTGCTAATTAGTTGGTGGAAACCATTGCAGATGCAGTCGGAATTAACGGTTTTACGTGCCTTCTGAAGCATGCCTTCGACCGGTATCTGCGGCCACGCACATAGGCCCCACTGGCGGTCCTTGGGGCATTCTCTCACAATATCAACGTTGCGCACCTCCCTCTCTATATTGCCGCGCGCGTCGAACATGAACACAGTGCGAGCGCCGTCGTCCGCGCCGGCCACAACACCGGCCCCACTGGCGGCCCTTGAGATATTCCCTCACAATATCAACGTATGCGCACTTCCCTCTCTATATTGCCGCGCACGTCGAACAGGAACACAGTGCTGGCGCCGTTGTCCGCGCCGGCCACAACACCGGCCCCCCTAACGGTTCTTGAGACATTACCTCACAATATCAAAGTATTCGCATCTCCCTCTCTATATTGCCGCGCGCGTCGAACAAGAACACAGTGCGGGCGCCGTTGTCCGCACCGGCCACAACACCGACCCCACTGGCGGTCCTTGAGACATTCCCTCACAATATCAACGTATGCGCACCTCTCTCTATATATTGCCGCACGCCTCGAATAGGAACACATTGCGGGCGCCGTTGTCCGCGCCAGCCACAGCACCGGCCCCACTGGCGGTCCTTGAGGGATTCCCTCACAATATCAACGTATGCGCACCTCTCTCTCTATATTGCCGCGCGCGTCGAACAGGAACACAGTGCGAGCGCCGTTGTCCGCGACGGCGACTCGTCTGGAAGCGGCGTCTGCGGCCACACACACTGGCTCGATGAGTCGATCCGAGTGGATCGTACGCACTGTCGAGCCTGCGATGTTCACCTGACAAGAACATTAAGACAACACAATATAATGAAGAAATTCTATACATTTTAAAATTTTACTAAAAAAAATGTAAAAAAGCAACACAAGCCGCGAAAAAAATTCGTGATGTTTATGGACCTAGTGCAGTATCTTTGAGATTAGCACAAATTTGGTTTAAGCGTTTTCAATTCGGAAATTTTGAAATCAAAGCTGCAAGTCGCTCTGGCCGCCTTGTAACGGATAAAATGGATGCCATTTTTGAAAAAGTGGAGCAAGATTGGCAAATCCGTAGTAACGACGTAGTTGAAGAACTGGAAATTGACCACAAAACAGTTTTAGCACATTTGAAAAATGTTGGGTACACAAAAAATTTCGATATTTTGGGTGCCTCACGAGCTCACTGAGAAACCTAATGAACCATGTACTCATTTGTGATTCTTTATTACGACGTAATGTGAAAAAAAAGTGGATTCACAGACTCTGGAGAAACCTGGGTTAACTCGCAACAAGGTTTGGAAGGGCATCATCCATTATGAGCTGTTACCGCCAGGCAGGACCATCGATTCTGAACTCTACTGCAAACAACTGATGAGATTAAAGCAAGAAGTTGAGAGAAAACCGCCGGGATTAATTAACGGAAAGGGTATGGTTTTTCATCATGATAACGCTAGACCTAACACACCTTTAGCCACTCAGCAATAATTAAAAGATTGTGACTGGAAGATGTTAATGCATCTGCTCTTCAGAATTCTTTGGGCAGTGTCAGGTTAACATCACGAGAGGACTGCCAAATGTCATGTCTCTACCTACAAAGATAGCAAAAAGTTATCGAACAAAATGGCACCTACATACTTTAGTTAAATGTAAATAAACTTTATTAAAAAATGTTTCTACTTTTTCCCCAACCTAATATTTAACGAGTCAATAGAAACGTCGGGATAAAGACGGTACAAAATTATGTGAGCGTTTTTACATCTTTAGTATTATAACATAAAAGTTAATCCAAGATATGAAACAGGAATGAAAACATGCAGTCACTCGCTTTAATGAAGGACACACATAAGATTGATGATTGACAGTAAATAAAGATCTTCAGAGCTACTGTTTCCAGAGAATAAGCTGCTAAACAATGCAAAATGCACTGTTTAAATTATTTATTAAATTAAACTTTATTGCTACACATAAGCAAACGACGGACTTAATGCCATACGTATTCTCTACCAGTCAACCAGTAAGAGTGTTGGAGATAAAGTGGTACGGTGATAAGTCAATGTTGCAAAATTATGTCAGTAAGAATTAAATTTCATATAAATACCTCCGTAAGTGTTCGAGTCCGCCAATTTACTGCGACTACGCCTTCAGCGGTGACGGCTATCCCTGTACAACTTCTACCAGCTAAACCTAAAATCAAATAACAGTAATTTCTACGTGTAAAATGGCGACAAACAACCATTATTGGTTCGCGCCTTATAGTGAGCCTGCAGTTAATAGCTATAGAGAATAATCTCATATATAAAATTCTCGTGTCACGGTGTGCGTAATTGAACTCCTTCGAAACGGCTCGACCGATTTTTGTGAATATGCATATTCAGTGGGTCTGAGAATCGGACAACATCTATTTTTCATCCCCCTAAATGTTAAGGGTGGTCCACAATGAAATTATTATTTCTTGGGACCATTTTTTTTATTTTTATTTTTTTATGATATATCATACAAAAATACATACAAACCTGAATTTTCACCCTTCTACCACCCATATTTTGATGGCGATACGAAGTTCGCTGGCTCAGTTAGTTTGACTATAAAATTCACATTTTGTTATAATACCTTTCTCTAAGTTATATAAAAATAAAAATTTAAGACTGTAGCAACTTGACCTCGATATTTACTAAAGCTACAAGTCCTCTCTCTCAGGCTCAAATGGAGCCAATAGGTAAGTTACTATTTCATCTTTATGTTCATAGTGTTCAGGTTGATTATAGAATATACAATGCGAATCAACTAAGAATAGGAACGACTGGGTGCCATATTGTGACGTCATAGCTGTTAATTCAAAACCAGTTAGGTAGCGTAAGCAAAAAAGTTTTTCTTTAATAAAACTTATTTACCAAGATTAAGTGAGAAAAAATATTAGATTTTAATTAATATTTATTTAGTAAGACTGAGTGAGAAAAAACATTAATAAGAATCAAGCTCTTTAATTCCGCTTATCTCTGCACTACGTGCGTAGTCATCATCATCATCACTGCTTTCGGTTATAAAATAAAATATCGATTATTGTAGGTTTCATAACGACAACTTTATTTAAAATAAAAACGGTTTTATTATTATCTGTATTTATAATAAAACTAAAGTTCCCTTTCCCTTTTCCAGTACTCATTTTCTACACGTTTCATATGATTTATTACCTTCTTTTGTTAACAAATGTTTGGTATTTATTCTAAAATTAGCTCAGTGGTAAAAAAAGTGTTGCAAGATTTTCTTTCAAACCGTACTTTTCAAGTGACATTTGACATATGGAGGTCAGTGGCTTTCCTATTCTCATTTGAATCGCATAGTTGTTATCAATAGCTTACCTTCATTTACGATATGTGTTTTAAATGCAAATGTCTCGTCGTCTAACACTTTGACTCGTGAATTCCCCGCATCGAGCACGTAGATTTCACGTCGTTTCGGACATCTAGAAAACATCATAATTTTGTTACTTTAGTTATCCTTTGAAACTGTGCATAATGAGTATAGCCGTGCACCGCGGCATTATTTTAAAATAGTATAAAAAATATTCATGCATGTGGGATTCTCATTTTGCTTGCTTTCTCAGTTCAGCTGTTCCTTGCTCGTACCTGGAATACCCCATACCAGAAGTGGTGCAGTTTATTTAAAATAATAAGCCTTAGCACGAACCAATATCGAAATCGAATAGTTGAATTCGATCTCGATACGTATCAAATGTCAAGAAGTTATGTAGGGAAGATTTTTAACTCTCGTTAAGTCCGTTGTAGCGCTGTACAAATTTTCATACAAACTTTCAATTTCAACGCGCCAAATGTCAAGTATCGAGGTCGAATTCAACTATTCGATTTTGATATTGTTTCGTGGTAAGGCTTTTTATTTTAAATAAACTGCACCACTTCTGGTTTTAATTATATTATAATATTATTTAAACTCAGTAACCAAAAGAACTTTTATAAAAATACTTAATTTTCGCGAACCGGTTACGCTTTAAGGCAGGTCTTCTACCTTTGGGATGAAAGTCAGCGGCTTGACCGGTATTGGTCAGGCACTGAATATCTATCTAGTTGATGGAGCAGGAGAACTTAGAAAGCGTGATGTGAGCTTTCCATACTAACTGTAATTCTATGTGTAACACGTACCTAGATATCGCTAAGATAGTCTGATGATGATATATATTTATTGATCTTCATTGTTTTTAGGAGAATCATCATCAGCCTATTAATGTCCCCACTGCTGGGGCACAGGCCTTCCCTATGGATGGACAGGGAGATTGGGCCATGACCCTCCACGCGGGCCCAGTGCGGATTGGTGGGTGCTAACGACTGCAGATGCAGCCGGGACCAACGGCTTAACGTGCCTTCCGAAGCACAAAGGAGCTAGAGATAGTAAATTTTTGGTCCACTGACCGGCCACTGCGAAAGTTGCTTAACTTCAACGATCGCAGCCGAACGTGCTAAACACTTGCGCTATCGAGCTCCTCAGCGCCAGCTTTTAGGAGAATAAAATTCTTTAAACCTAAATCTACTCACCTAGCCACGGCAACCGGTTGGTTCAGCTGTTCCTTGCCCGTGCCCCTGGTACCCCATACTAATAGCGGTGCAGCGCTGGGAAGTATGTTAGTTCGGAGAGGAGAATCTCTCACAGCCCTCGAGAATACTAACACCCGAAGGCATATAGTACCGGCACTCCATGGACGCATCGTGATCCTGTGTGGTAGAAAAAAAAACAGTTGCAAAATCTTGTATGTTTACTTGTCTACGTGCAGTCCATTCTCGTATTGTTATACGATAGTGTTGAGTTTGAGGCATGGAGAATGGACTGCACGTTCAATGTCCAAGTGTAAAGCAAAACTGGCTAGATTAGTGTGAGTGAGATGAAGCGATCGTGCGGCCCATACATATTGCACGCTTGATGGAATACTGATTTCACGGAGGAGCTGGGACCTTGGATGGCGAGACTGAAGCCACATCTCACACGCAAAATAGGCACCAACTGTTGAGTTGCGAAAAATACCCGCCGTGAAGAAGAAGGAATTTTTATCGATTGGAAATTATGTCAATGTTGAATAACTATTTTAGGATACAATATGTCTAATTTTACAGTAAGATGTAATTGACTCTCAAACGATAATTTTGTATGTAAATTAAAAAGTATAGATGACGTTAGCTCAAGCTTTTGTGTGTCTTAGTTACACTACATTCCAGGTAACATTAAAAATAAGAAGCTGAAAGAAGCGGGGTTTCGAAACCGTTTCATGTCATGGCATGAAATTATCTTATAATATTAATATTTTAATACTATATTTTATCATTATACATGTATAATGATAAGATATAATAATCATATTTTTTATTACCCATATTTATTACCAGTTACTCTAGAGTGTAGTGTTAACTATTTATTACCCGAGTGCACAATGCAAGAGCGCGAAGCGCGACGCGCACACAGGGTATAGTGTTTAACGTCTATATATGTATGTTTGTTCCTTTGTGGCACACTAGTTTATATTTATGTTACATCTACAAACATTGGAACTGGGTCAAATTAAACGACATAATAAAAATATTATTCGTAGGGTTCCGTACCTCAATTGGAAAAATCGGTACCCTTATAGGATCACTCGGTTGGCAGTCTGTCAATTTGTGCTTGTAATTTCTACGCATAAATTGAAAATTGCGTAATTAAACGTTTATTACCACAATGAGTTGAAAATGTGCACCTATAAAAGAACCATTTTTTACTTCTTTTTAATGTTATCTGAAATGAAGTATAAGCGAATCACTAGCCAGCCGCACAATAGCATATCTTCGTATATCTCACACTTTTCTGACCAAATATTGCGGGTAATGGTGTGTTTCACAAACGTTCTAAGCACATAGACTTGAGAATGCACTTTGTAAAAAACTGTGTTTCGAAAGGCTTACTAGAATTACGTTATCTTTGTACTGAACGAATGGTGGCAGATGCTTTGACTAAGTCTTTAGCCATTTGAGAGGGAGTGTTAAAAGAGGTTTTTTATATTATTTATATCTTTCTCTTGTCAAATAGCCATATTGTTTTTGTTTTGTACACTTCACTTACTTTGAATTCTTTCTTAACACGACTGTATGTTTTCCATCAGATTTCCATATTAAATTTATTATTCTCTTGAGGTTTTCTCTTTAATTCCAAAAACATGCACGCCTATGGGTGAAACTCACTGACCAGTATAATCCAGAATCCAGTTCGGGAACAGTGCTAGGCCGTGGTAGTCCACCGTCCTTAGCACAACCACTACCTATGAGCATCAAATGCACGCCTATGACTGAAACTCACTGACCTGTATAATCCAGAATCCAGTTCGGTAAAAGTGCTAGGCTGTGGTAGTCCACCGTCCTTAACACAAACATTACCTATGAGCATCAAATGCACGCCTGTGACTGAAACTCACTGACCTGTATAACCCAGAATCGTGATCGGTAATAGTGCAAGGCCGTGGTAGTCCACCGTCATTAGCACAACCACTACCTATGAGCGCAAATGGACGCATATGGCTGAAACTGACTGACTTGTATAACCCAGAATCCAGATCGGTAACTGCTAGGCCGTAGAAGTCCACCGTCCTTAGCACAACTACTACCTATGAGAGTCAAATGGACGCCTATGGCTACAACTCACTGACCTGTATAACCCGGAATCTAGATCGGTAACAGTGCAAGGCAGGGGCGCGTCTTCGAGCGTGGCGGCCGCGGTGACGGGATCGCCGCCGGTGCTTCGCGCCTCGCCGTGATAGTCCACTGTCCTTAGCACAACCACTACCTCGAGACCGCACACGCATTGAGATTCTGCAATCACATTATTTTACTTTACCTCGACTCAATCAGCCTTAACAGCGAGCACGGAAGATTTTACTTGAATAGGGTAGTAAACTAGACCTTTTGAGTACTTATTTATTAGGGATTTGGAACACACTAATCTCAGAACGCTCAGATTAAAACGGTTGTATTAAAAATATTTTTTTTCCCTTCCAATACATGACATTGTACATCCAAAAACTACTGGTCAGACAGTCTAAATAGAAAATCAACTACTGTTTTTGAATAATTCGAAGTCAGTTGAAAAGGCAAAGAATTTTTTGTTTAATATGAAGACTTCTAAATTTGGGAAAAGAGATGTCGAGAACGTAAAAATAAAAATAAACTGACTACGAAAACAGAAGAACTGAAAAATTGGAAATAATACATATAATTCTTTAGTAATTTATACCTGAAGTATATTTTTAAATTCAAATTAAAATTTGTTGTCTTTTGAAGTCAGTAAAAAACTTCGTTTTTGAGCAGATACCAACTGCTACGACCATGAACACAGTATAAGTAACTCACCCAGTTGCAGCGTACACAGCCCAGGGAAAGTTGTGCTAGTCCGAACTCTGCCCAACTCGCCCAGGGATTCAGTGAACCGTTGCTGTGCGTCATTGTGGGCGAAATCTACGGCCAGGAAGGCGTTCTCCCTCGGCTCGGCTAACGCTGCAGCATCACCCAGACGAGCGCCTAATGCGGCTGCGCGACTACTGACTTCTCGCACTTCCACTTGCTGCTGAAGCCCAGAACATTCCGCTTCCACCTTTGAAATTTATTTATAAAAAAATTAAGAGGATTTGATATAATCGCAAACTTGGTAACAGGTAGTGATGTAAGGATTCTCAAGATAATAATAGTGTCGATTCTGGTATGATTCCCTAAATCTAAAATTCAATTTGACAACAGTCTTTCCTTGTCATTATCTACATAGAATGAAAAGGAGACTGATATTAAATTTAGATTTAAGTTTAGAGAATCACAACAGAATCGACACCAATACATAACTTATAAATTTAAATATATTCAAGCATGTAGAAGATTAAAAAATTACAAAAGTCATTTTGGCAGGTATGAAAAAAAGGTTATGGTGTGATGAGGGAATTTTTTGTTTAAACTGTTCAACTGCTAATGTGATCTTGTTGAGTATGATTCTATTTGGTAATTGTAACGAAATAGTAGGGGAGCACACGATGCTATATAGGGATTTACTCGAGCGTCGTTGGGACGTATTGGATTGTTGAAGTTAGATGCAAAAAAGAAAAAGTGTATTGGTGCAGCGCCCGGGGCGTTAAATACATGAAAACCTCGGATTTTAGTTACAGTTAATGAAATCAAAAAAATCCAAATGGAATGTTCAGCTAATCATACATATAAAAAAGTTTACCTCTTAAAAAAATTGTGATCTTGTATTTTTTTTAATGAGTGTGCCTTGCGGTAGTGTCATATGATTTGTATCTACTTGGTGTATATTTTTTGTCACTTTAATTTCACTAGCCACTTTGAATATATGCACTTATGCCTGTCTGTCACCAGGCTGTTTATTTAAAGCTGTAAATAAATTACTAAATATCCTACAATAAAGTCAACCAAGGGCGTATAATTTACATTCCCAACTAGCAACATCGCAATCAAATAATAAATTGGTTGCGATTTATCCATTTTTTTTACTTGAATTGACCTTTAGTTATTAATTTATCATGTAAGAATTTAGTGAAATTTTTTAACCAAATTACTTACCAAGCGGAGAAATAGGAATAAACTTAACAAACTTAATGTATGGAATAAACTTAATGTATGGAAACTTATACAGCAGCACCACAAAGTACGTAACGAAAACTAAAAATCAGTACACATTTGACAATGACATTTCGCACTCGAAAACTATTCGAATTTGATATTGGTTCGTGCTAAAGGTACTGTTCTTTTTTTTGTTTTTCATTTTAGTTAAAAACCGGGTTCTCATAATACATTTTTACAAAGGGAATCTAAATACGGAAAGATATCTAGATATACTTAATATTTTAAGAGGTGAGATCAATAATCTTCCTGATGCAAATCGACGAAATCTCATTTTCCAGCAAAATGGGACTCATAACATAACAGTAGGAGAACTGCTGAGTTTCTTAAGAACACTTTCCTTCCTGGATCGGTTCTTATGGACAAATAAGATGGCCAACGAGATCCCCAGATCTTACCCCACTGGACTTTTTTGGTGGGGTTATGTAACAGATATAGTATACAAGAACCGGTAAGACAGTGTGCAGGAGTTACAAAATAACTCAGACGTATTGTTACAAACATTCACCACGCAAAGATAATGAAATCGACAGGCAGAGAAAACATTAATAGAGTGAGAATTTGCATACAACAAATCGGATCACATTTTGAACATTTGATACATTTCGTTTTTTATTACTTTTTGTTGAATATTTTTAATAAAATGTGTAATTTTATGACTTTTCTTTCATTTCAAATGCTATGTTATTTAGCAAAAAATAATTGTTATGATTAACTCTTTCAATGGTTATCATAAAACATGTAGTGTTATTTTTTTCGAAATTTCACGAGTTTGATTCCCCGTTTTAGCAGGCGATTTTAAAAAAATCTGTGAATGCAGTTCTAATTATAATTAAAAATAAAATGATGTCTTCTTTCGGTAAAATATCCTATCTTCAATATTTAATATACTTTCCCTCCGTGTGAGGTAGCCGTGGGACGCCCTGTATATAATGTTTACCTTTTCACGGGTAGGGAGAGCGTGTACAGGCTTTCAAATATGTAAGTTAAAACAGTCATATAAACATACTCGAGCGGGTCAGATATTAATAGTGTATTCGCCCCACGTGTCTCCGATAAAGGAAAAGTATTAATCTGCCGGTTTGAATGGTGGGGCTGACCATAGGAAGGGGTAGACAATAGGAATAAAAAAAAGTTATCGAGCGCCGTTGCTAAGGGATGTTACGAACCTTCCAGTGGCTCCCATTCAAACGAATGAAGTTTTGGAGGCGAATTGCTTTTTTAAAATGCAAAAAAAAATCGTGACCTTACAATGCTTGAGCACGTCAGATTATAATACAGTCGATTCATCTTGATGCCTTTAACGTGCTGACCAATAATCTGACAATTATGTGAAGGAATTTCCTTAATCTGACGGTTTGTCAAAGGACCATGGTGAATCTGCCGCGCTCGAGTAAATCCCAAAATCCCCGCTTGGGCTACCCTACTAAAAAGCATGGAAAAAGCACAAAATAAGTATAAAGCACTTATTTTGTGAAGAATATGCAATATATTTATCTAAATCGCCATAATCTTTTCGCGACGTGACATTGTCATGTTCATCTCTGGATGCACCGTTTTGTTTCAAATGATGGTGATAACGCTTTTCTTTATTTATATAAAATGAGTTTGATATTAGCCTAACGATCATAGTAATATAATGTGTCCTTTTCCAATATTCGTAAATTACCTACAGAAGACATTAATATACGTACTTTGGTTTTTTCTGCATCAATTAGTTTCAATTGTTCTTCCAGAAGCTTTCGTTTGTGTGTCGCCGCCGCCGCTGCGGCCGATTTGAGTTCGCCATGTCGTTTGTCGAGTGCTGCTTTTAAATCGGCGAAATGTCGGTCGATGGCTTCGTCAGCAGCTGTCGCTGCCGCTTCTAGTCTCCTCAACTCGCTAGCAACCGCTTCCCTAGCAGAACCTAGTTTACTGAGACATTCGTTCGCTCTGTACAAAAGAATTTCAGACATTCTTTTCAGGGCTATTGAGAAAGGTACTACTGTATGGTCGCAAGGCGTGTCGCTGTGAGGTCCGTCGGCGCAATGTCTGCAAAATACGCAATCACACGTTTCACAGAAAAGCAACTCCCGACCTGGATGTGAGCTACATTGTGGAATTACTTCTCTACGTTGCCGTGCCATTAAATCAAGTAACTGGTTGACGAGAAATGATGGTGGTAATGCAGGAACACCGCCACGAGGTATGGTGATAAGCTCTCGACATATAGGGCATCGAAAGCTACCAGAGTCTCTGGTTTGTGAAGCGGCTATGCGAGTGAGACAATGTAAGCAGACCGTATGAGAACACGGAAGAAGCTTTGGGGTGTGTTCTCCGCCATCGTATGTGCCTGAAACAAATTAAAACCACGTATGAAGATCTTCTTTATCTTATCTCAATTATAAGAAACTTAAAAAAATCATTATAAATTTTGTGTTTAAACCATAAAATATGATATATTACTTAATAGTAACTTTATTACCTATGTCCAGCAGTGGACGGAGAAAGGCTGATGGATGGATGGATGACTTAATAGTAACCTAAAAAATTTTCTGGGATAAACAGTATCCAATGAGTCAATCCAGGTAATAAATTATGTAATTTTATCCAAATCTGTTCAGACGTTTCTGCGTGATTGAATAACAAACTTTACAAATACCCAAATCACAGTTTATCCGAGTGCATTGAATAATTTTATGATTTTTTTTAAGTAGGAAGATATTTACAATTTCAAATCTAAAGAAAAGTTTACTTTTCTATATTTTGACTAAAAATAGTCAATTATTAGTTTAAAAACTAGAGAACAAATGAAAATATTGATAAAATGTTAAAGTGGAGGCAAGCTGCCAAAGATGCGACACTGCTGCAGTGTCAACATAATTTTCAGTCTCTTATTGATACTGTACTTCAAACAATATGCTTTAAAATGCAGTGCCACATAGCATGTGATGCCACTGACTTACAGTGCTAATTAATAATAAAATAATATGTGTTAATTAATAATAAAAAATGTGTACTAACATAAACATGTACCACAAGTGAGAAAGCTCTCATTAAAGTCTTCATAGTTGATGGAGACGGTCTCGACGAGCGTGGAACTCATGCTCGCCATCCCGACACCCAGCCGCGAACTGTTCATAACACACATGTAATAAACCAACTATAAACTCATGAGGCCTAGTACTTAATCAATAAAGATAAGACAAGGAAAATTGCACATAAATATCCCATTAAACAGCAGTTAATGCAAAATAATAAAAATATTAAAATAATTTAAGTAGAAAACAATCAAAAACAAAAACGAATAAGGTATAAATAAAAACTATGTCACTGTAGGACAATTTACAATTATCTTGCAACATTAATTAATGTAACCTGTGTCATGAGAGAACATTAGATAATGCGCAAACCATAATGTCATTTGTGATTCACCAATCATAGCAGTTTGCATTTCATTATATTTCATTGCCTCCAATTGGATAAAGTAGGTAATTATTTTAAAACTCATTGCAATCACAACAATTTTATTGCTGATGATTAGCAAACATGATGACATTACAGTTCTTAATAACGGAAGTGTGCATTTTGATTTTTCCTAGCTTGCATTGTGAACCGTAATTTTACCATATAGCCACTTATATGTTTTCCTTGAACAAATTGAAATAACCTTAATATACTAATTTTATTTTCTCTTTAAATCTTTATACATTTTTAATGTTCTTAGTTTTGTTACCTATAGTTTAAATAGTTTGCCATTATACTTTTGGGTACAGTTCAATGACCTCATTAACATTGTATGGTGCTGTAACAACTGTAATGACATTTCATATGTTTCATAATTTGAAGAATTCTTATTTAGCTAATAGCATATGAATATTCTTTGGGTTATATACATTATAGTAAGTTGTATTTTTATAAAAAGTGTTTAATGCTTTATATAAATATATAAAAATACAAATGCTACATTTATAATTCTAAAATAAATTAATTTTCCAGAAAAAGACCCCTGAAATAAGTTTCAATTATTTTAATTAATTAATCAAGTAAATAACATTGATGTTTATTTAATGAATGTATCAACTGATTTCTTTTCATGAAAATAATTTAGAAAATATATTAATGTCACTTTTACAATTATATCTAGAGTAATGTGTTTCAATACTTGTAAGTCTACAATGATTAAGTGTGTTGTGTTTTGTAAAAAGTCACAAAAACAAAGTTTGAGAAATCATCAATAATAATATGATTTCTGATTGTTGTGCTTATGCTATTTAAGATAATGAAAGATCTAGTGCAAAAAAAAAAGCAAATAAACAAATACTTACAGGAATGAGCAACAATACATGGACGTGTTATCAGGAACAGAATACTAAATCAGCTTAGTCTAATAGTTGTTTCATATCATGCGTTGACTTAAACTCGTTTCGACACTTCGTGGAGATTTGTGTGGATTCTACCGTGTAAGTGCAACTAATAGTGAACGTAAACACCATACAAAACACGGCCGTGAGCAAACAAAATAGTTATAAAGGGTTAATTTTAACACTTAACAAATACCGAAATTGTGTAACTGACGTAAGGGGTAATATTTTTGAATTGAAAAACAAATATTTCAGCAGTTTAGATAAATAATGTAAAGAAAAACGCTCTTTCGTAACCGATCGATAGTATTAGGAAAACTATTCCTATGACAAAGAGACTTCATTACAATGTTATCCTAAAAATAGTATCATTATTAGATGGCTGTTAAACATAACACAACGACTCAACACAATGTTTGACTATTTTTATATAAGATGTTACATATTTGAGGACAGGTTTTTTTCTAAATATTTATCGAAACTATTTTCGTCGTCCATTAACCTCACCGTCCAAAACAACCCAAATGTCAAAGTCGCAAACTAAAAGCAGCTGTCATTCATATCCACAGAATAAGTCAATGTATGTTACGTTTTACGTTCCAGTATTTTTTTTCTTCTTAAGTTTTGGGATTTTTTGATTTTTCATGAATCTTGATATTTTAATAGATATGTTAAGCTCAAAATCATTTTTTATTAACGGCAATTTCTTACACAAGCAACTTTATTTCAGTCCACTTGTATTTAAAACAGGTGAAGAACCTTAGTAAAGGACTAATATTTTCTTTATAAAGTGGTTGAGATTAAAATCGTTCTAGGTAATGTTTTTGCTTTTCTTTAATAGCTAATCCACTAATCGTTATCCCAACCTCTAGATCCAGAGAGTACCTATATTGAATCTGGATAAGTTTGAATCCAACTCATCACAAACCAAAACAACGCCGACGATGGCTATAAAGCTTTTCAGGGTCAAACAAATTGTGGGATTGATATTTTTAAACACTTGTTGTTAGTATGTCAGTATGTGTTGACATTCAGCTAAGATAACACGTTCCCTGTGTAACCAAAAATATATTTCCGTATCTGTTAATTTAAGTAGGACATCATACCTGCATTTAAGTTTTACAGAGTGACAATGATCTTTAAAAGGATTGCTGTTGGAATTCAAAAAAAGTCAATAATTCAGTAGGTATTCAGTCCCATAAGATAAGTATTATTTAGATAATTATTAAATGCAGGACAACAATAATTATCGTCCATGTGTGTTTTTATCTAGATAAGGTAATACATTCCAATCAATAACCTTCTGTAAGGTCATTTAGATAGGTTTAAAACATCCAGCAGTTAAATGCTCACAATAAAAATAATAAAAAAAAGGTTTTTATATACATAGTAGTTAACCAAATCCACTTCAATGCTGGACGCAGTGTTGCCAGGTCTCCAGATTTTACAGGAGATCTCCTATTTTTCTGAAATTTCTCCTGTTCTACTGTTTTTCTACATGAATCTCCTGTTTTTTTAGAAAACGATTTTCTTTTTTAAACTGCATGTTGAGTTGCATTTTTCGTCATTAATAATGTAGATAACCTTAATAATTACAAAATAAATGTAATTGTCTAAAGAAAAAATAGCTTTGAGGGGCGGCAGAAGCCACAGAAACACATTCGTTACTGATCTCTATCTTGATTTCTTGTACCATTTCTAGGGGGGGGGGGGGGGGTGCAAACCGGAAAAAGTACACCCCTGCATCTACTGTTTTTCTTGTAGCTGTTTCCATACATCTACTGTTTTTACCTGTAACGCCTCCCGATTTTTAAAAATCGGACCTGGCAACACTGGCTGGACGGAAGTGAACGAAAAACATAAATATGGTACCGAGATTTCCCTAGTGGCTGTTTGCGGAACTAACGTATGACAGATATTTTCAAAGAGTAGGAATAATATAAATACTACTCTTTGGAGTAGGATATTTTCACATAACCACATAACTGTGTGTGTAATACAAAGAGCCGGTTTATTGTTGTTCTAAATTATTTATACAAAATTTTGCTAAGATTTCACTGTTAGACATCTACGAAGTGGTAAAAAATCCTAAAAGACCACTCCGTGAGGGTGAACAGTATTTTAAAAGTGCAATGTTAATGTGTTGGTGTCAAAGAACGAAAATCTGAAAAAGAGTGTCTGGGCTTAGCTGCACAAATTTCTGGTGTACTTGATTATCCACATGAAGTGGAATGTAATTTGGACACATCAAAACTGGAAGGTCTACGTTTAATCGATGTAAAATGTAAATGTCCAGCTGGGAATTCTGATCAATGTAAACATAGTGTTGCATTGCTTGTTTTTAAACAGGTTAGTATCAGCCTTTGATTTGTAACAGTATTATTTTATTTTGTTGAATATCTAAGCAAAAAATAAGATTAATATGTGCATAATTTTTGTACAGAGTTGATGAAGAAGAACTTGATGATTTGAGCTGTACAGATTTGGAACAACAATGGGGATCAATAAAAGCAACTCATTATAAAACTTATGAAGCAAAATGTCTTTGTGATTTGTGTCATGCGAAGTGTCAATCAAGGCCAACTGTACAAGTGACAGAGGTCATGAAAGCTTGATGGAGAGAAATACTTCTACAATTAAGTTCAGATCTGACGAAAATCAACTATAATGTAAGTAGATATAGAACAGTAGATGTAGATTGATTGTTATACAAGTCAATAAATATTTGTTATCTTAGTTTACATAATTTATTTGTTATTTACAGCTGCACCTCTAAGTGAATACTTACTTTTTTATAGTGGTGTGCGAATGTCTTATACTACCTGCAGTGACGAAGATGCCAATAATAGACAAGCAGAGGTTTCAAGGTGCAATTGAAGAATAAATACGATTTTTTGTCATCAGAAACAATTTAAACTAAAATGATTGTAATGATTAATAAAACTTTGTTTATCAATAATTTTATATTTGCGTTCTTTATTGAGTTACATAAATTTATCAACATTTAATACAGGACTACTTAAATTAGTCATACCACAGGCAACAATAAGACAATCTTCAAACTGCCTCACTCTTTGAATGACTCGTTCCACATGCACCCTGGCTCTTGCGATTACTGCACTCTTCAAATCTTCTTCTCTGGATAATGCAAATATGTTATTATACAACATTTTAGACAGTTTGACTGTTCAACAGGAGTTTCAGCACAGTCTATAACAACTCGAAAAACTTCAACTTTACTGAAACTGAAGAATTATGCCTTTTTTGTGCATGTTCAGAACGCTGATTAATACATAACTGTTTCTCAGCAGTCAGCTGTTTGTCATGCTGTCTTACAGGTAATTTTTTACTTGGAATAACATCCCTTTTTAATTTGTCTACTTTTTGCTGTACCTAAATGTTGAAATTAGAAACATAGTATCATAAAAGTGTTGATAACTTCTGATGTGAATAACAGTAAGGTTAATGATTATTAGATCGTACCTGGAAAGTAATCTAATTCGGTAAAATGTTCTGAGCAAACTCGCATATAATTTAATGATGGTTTTCCTAATCTAAGAACACTTTCCCAACGTTTTCTCAAGTTGTCATTAGTAGGAAAAATATGAAAACTTAAACCCTCTTTCAATAATTATTACATTGAGGAACACAACAGTTAGTATTAGTATTTCCTTTTTTTTTTGGTTAATTTGTCCCTGTTGGGACGGGCAAAGGATTCTGAGTCCATACAGCCCTATTTTTTTTTATTCTTTGTATCCATCTTAACACTTCTTCTTTTTTTATGGCATGCATGGTTTGTGCGTTCAGCCAATGTCAAGTAAAAATTGAGGAAACAGTATAGGAAAAAAGGAATCGAAAATAATACGAAATTTGGAAAGGATCAGGATTGTAGAATTCTTAACACTTAAATTATCGTAATATATCATGCAGTTTTTTTTAAATTCTTGAAAAATTATGAACAAGACGGTACATTGTACGTATATTCGTATTTCTATCTGTCATACATTAGTCCTGCGACTTGCCGCTAGGGAATCTGCTCATCGCCATCTTTTTCTTTATAGAAAGCAGTAGCAGCAAGCAGATTGTTTCGGTTTCAGCTGGCTTTTGAGTATATGTATCTAAATACTTGTTGGGATGTTAACATCCCTTTCCTAAAATTTTAAAATAAACCTCATAGAGTTCAATGACAAGACTCTTCCGTTTGTCCTTGGTTTCTTTCTTCTCGTCCAGCAATTTTTTTTTAATAAGTTTTACGGCCGTGAATTTCTTTATTTCGGCCTCTCGTCCAGCTAGTTATGGTTACGGATGCAAAGTCTTTTGAAATATCGATATTTATAAAGAAGTCAGGAAAATATCGATATCCGATATATCGACCATTTTAACTCGACATTATCGATATATCGATATTTTTTCCTTTTTATTGACATTAGAATACGGGGTGAGTGTGACACATTCATATGTTTGTTGGCGAGTTTCTCGCAAAATGCATTGAGCCGGCTTTTTCGTTAAACACGCTTTATGAAATCGCGCCAAGCAGGATTTTTTTTTATTGTCTCGCATGGTTTGTGTTTCAGCCACGACAGGAAACCAAAAAAATTAAATTGTTATCCTGATCAGATCACTCACATTCGTTAGCACAAATGCGCCAACCCGCATATGTGGGACGACATTTGCGAATGCCTTCGCTAAGTTTTCACTACATTCGTGCTTTTCCAAGCTATGTCGGTTTTTTAGCGCACATCAAATACGCAAATTGCTTAGTCTCCCACACATCAGGGGCGTGCCTATGGCTTCAGAATAGGGTAAGCCCAAAGCTTTCAAAATTACTATACCTATCTTAGTTTCTTGACTTGGCGGCGAGCTTAAAAAAAATACGATTTGTATAAGATTCTTAATTTTATTTTGTGTTATATTACAATGATATTAAATTTCAATTAATCAGTTGACAATTATCTAGAAAAAGAGGCAAGGATTTTATTTAAGTGCATGAGTTACCATTAGGTATACGATTATACCTATATACGTTAGTGTCGATTCTGGCATAACTATCTAAACTTAAAACTGAATTTAACATCAGTCTCTCCTTTTCATTCTGTATAAAGAATGACAAGGATACACTTTTGTGAAATTAAATTTTAGGTTTAGAGAATTATGCCAGAATCCACACCAGTTTAGTATATTTCTTGGGGTTCAAGATTTTTTTAATATATCTATAAGCTCTTGCGATTTCAAAGCAATAGTTCTTTCGATATTATTCAATTTAGATAGTCATAGCAGGTAAATTAATTGATAATATTCTGTTCAAATTTAGTCTTCGAAATATCGATATTTTGGAATTTCCGATATCGATATCAGTGAATTTTAAATATCGATATTTTGGTCTCGATATTCGATATATCGTTGCAACCCTAGTCATCGTGCTGCATATCTAAAATATCCCACATAAATTGTGTACTATAGGCGGTATAGAAATAAATGTTCCCAATATGTATCATTTTACCGATATGCAGCAGGAAGAAAATGGGGTATAGGATGGTATCACCCTGAGGTACACCAACTTATAATGACATCATCATGTGAATTGCGACCAGCGTTGCCAGACGTCCGATTTTTGAATCAAAATTAAATGTCCCGCGCGGGACAGGCTCAATCCCACTTTTCGGGTATAACTCGACCGTGCGTGCAGCCACGCTTTCTCAGTACGCTGCAGCGTACTGAGAAAGCGTGGGCGGGTGGCACAGACAAGTGTGGCGAACTCTCAAACAAAGACTCAACTCTTTAACGATAGGGTAAATCTAATTTAAAACATAATATTTTTATTAAAATACATTTTCTATGGATATTTTTACTAGGTACCTATCTATTGTCACGTGAACGTAATTTGAGCTCTAATAAAAAGTAAATAAATATAGTAATAAATATTCAAAAAAAATGATTATACCTACCTATACGCTTTTTTTTACTATGTCCCGCATTCGACGAAAGAATCCCACTTTTTTCACTTAAAAAGTTCCTAAATCCCGACCTGGCAAAAAAAATCTGGCAACGCTGATTGCGACCTACATCCGTCTGGATGCGAACTCTACGCTACTCTTTTCCATGCAAACCATATCAAAAGCCTTGGCGAAGTCAAGGCTAATAGGAATGTGAGACTCGCTTTCCATGTCGATAAATTCACTTCAGAAAAAAGTTACTGCCAACGCATATAATATGAGACCCAACGGCTTATTCGTTAACTTTTTTAACATTAAGTGTGCAACTAAAGAGAAATTTGCATATGCATCGATGCTTTTGAGATCAAGTATAGTATAGCAGCGTTATAGTAAAGCAGTAGTGGATCTCTAAATTGCTGGGTGATTATCACTTCAATCTATCAAAAGCAGTAAGCGAATAGGCCTTCTGGATGTAATTGGAGAGAAAACTTCCGCGGGTTTTATAACTGCATTTATCGTATTTGTATTTTGTCAACACTAACAGTTCCTTTCCAAAATAATTGTTTGCTGACGTATATTTGACGTTGATAAGAAATTTAGACAAAGTTTCAACATTTGAAGGTTAATAGAGACAACAAAAAAAAAAATGGGTGCGTGTACTTATGTAGGCGCGTGAGAAGTTATCCTTCTTTGGCATCGTTTAAAATTAGTTTTTAATTGCATGCAAATAATTAATTACAATAAATTAATAAAACGTCTGGAAAAGGACACAGTCAATAAAGTTCAGTTTTAATTTGAAAAAATAAATAAATAATCAAAATATTCAATTAAAATCGCTACTGAATATAATTTATTAGAACATATGTGATTTGCACTTGTATGAAACTCAAACACGTATTCCGAATATACAAACTAGAAACATGTGGATAAATATTATAAACTAGCGGCCCGCCCTCGCTTCGCTTCGGTGTAGAGCTGAAGTGTAGACTACAGTTTTTGTTCTCAGGCTTGTATTATACACAATGACATTCATCTATGATTCTTCTTATACCTGCATGCAAGGTCTCAGCCCGATCGGTTTAAAATTGATAAAGTTTCATACAAACTTTCATTCCTTATTTTATCCCCTTGGGATTTTCTTTATATTTTTTTCCGTAAGAACCTTGTACAGAGTATTAGAAAACTACAAAAAAAAAACAGCCAAATCGGTCAAACCGTTTTCATGTTATGTCGTGACAACGGAAAACGGGTTTCATTTTTATATTATATAGATATGAAAACAGTCTCTGTTCTAAATTCAAAACTCGTAACTTTTCCCGATGTTTGTTGCACGTGTTTCCCGCGCTAGGACCGCGAGTGGCCGCGCATGCGTACGGTGCGGCGGGCGACGCGGTAATGGCAGCGCGGCACATGAAGTGGGTCGCTAAAGCGACCAACTTCATGGTGTTAATTTTTTGTGTTACATGATGCGCCCGCATCTTAAAATTTCACTCTTAACAATTTTTCAGAACGCGCCTAAAGAAGTATAACTTCAAAAAAATAGGATTCAATTTTGTCAGGTCGTAATTTTTGATCATTTAAGAGGAAACATTAACTCAACTTAGTGTAAACATTTCAATGTCAAATTAAAAAAGTAGATATTACCGATTGAAATTGAAAACTGTCTCATGTTGTATGCGTTGACGGCACGACCTACACTTCGTTAGAATCACCATATAACACTTCTTGCCAGGCATTGGAATTTACGAATCTTGTACGCGAAGCTGGCTGTCAAAACGGATCTGTACAGTGACTATAATACACGTCCCGGACACCCAAATCGAGCCACCTTGATTTTTTTGGTTTGGAGTACTGTAACTTATAAAAGATGTATGTAGAAGGAAAATGTTTTGATGCAGTTTTGGAGCTGGTATACTCATCATTCATTTAGAGTGCCACTGTTCTAAATTTGAACTACAGTTTATTAAAAAAGTGGTGTTACGTTGAAACAAGTTCATATTTGCTTTTTTCAAGGAAAAAAATCTAATCGATTTTCAAATAAAGACATGTTTTACATGAAAAGAAATGTTTATTTAGTAACTTGTATTGCCTCCCAGTGCATTTATGACAGCTCTCATACGGTTTGGCATAGAATTAATCAATGTCGTTATGACATGTTGAGGAATGTCCTCCAATTCTTCCAAAATTACATTTTTGAGCTCCTGCAGGGTTTGCAGGGCAAGATGATAAGCTCGAACACGCCTCTTCAGCTCATCCCATAGATGCTCTATAGGATTCAGGACTTGGCGCTGGCCATCTCATAACAGTGATACCAATTTCATTTAAGTACTCCCTGACGATTCCCGCAGTATGGGCCCTTGCATTATCATGCATTAAAACGAAATCTTGGCCAATAAATCCAGCATATGGCATCACGTGGTTCTTTAAACATTGGCGAATGTATCTATTGCCATCTAGGGGCGGCAGTCGTGGTCCCGTCACTACCTCTAGCTCAGTTTTGCCTTCCATAGAGATTCCTCCCCAGACTGTCCATGATCCTCCACCATAACTCACTTTCTCGTCAATACAGCATTGCGGGAAACGCTCGTTCTGTCTTCGGTACACCTTACTCCTTCCATCATTACCGTATAGCATTATCTTGGACTCATCTGTAAAGAGAACCTGGCTCCATTGATGTCGAGTCCAATTTTGATGTTCGCGCGCAAACTCTAGACGGGCTATTCGGTGTGCTCGTGTCAATTTGGGTCCATTGGCTGGCTTATGGGGCTTTAAACCACGTTCATTGAGTCGCCTTCTAACGGTCCGAGCACTTACAGCCACTCTGTGAAAGTCCCTGAGCTATTCTTGTATCTGAACAGAGTTAAGGCGTCGATTTCGTAAGCTAGTAGTGACAATGTATTGATCTTGTCTCGCCGTTGTCACTCGGTAACGAGGTCCTCCTGTTCGCCGAACGAAGCCGCCAGTCTCCAGGTATCGGTGGTACATTCTTTGAACAGCGGAACGACTTATGTGAAGTTGTGAACTCACATCTCGCTGACTTAGCCCAGATTGAAGAAGTGCTACAGCTTTCGCGACTACTTCAGGTGAAGTATCTATAATTTTATAGCCAAAAACGGTTCAAATTATAGAAAAATAACTAAACTAAACTTTGGTTTACAACAATTGCGAAAATTCAAACCATATCGACATTAAATTGCTTCAAAAGCAACTTTCAACAGTCATTATTTTTTTCAAATACAAGCTCGGCTTTTGTTCTTTATTTTAAATTCTAAAATTCAAATTTGGAATAATACATACGGGAAAGACGATCAAATATGCCAGCATTAAAAATGCATAAAAACTTTTTTGTTATATTGTTAATTTTTTGTGTATTGGGCTTTTAGGCCCGGGAATGTAAGGTGGCTTGATTCAAGAGTCCGGGAGTAGGTAGGTAATATTTTTTGGTACGTTTGGTTCATTATTGTTTTTTTTGCCTTTTAGATTATCATGGACACGTCATCTTTCAGAGGAGAACATAAAACCATTCGATGCCATACCTGGGTTGACAGCCTTGCCCATAATAGGCATAATGCATCATTTCATACCTTTCTTTGGTACGTAAAAGATAATCTTATCTTGCATGATTGTTCATACTATAAAATTATTGCGACTAAACGCTGACTTGAAACATAAATTTTGTAGTAGTTTGAAAAATCAAATCAATAACTTAGGACCTTAGTAGTTAGAGCGTTCGTTATGCAATCGTGGGAGTCGAGCAACTTTCACAATAGCGGGTTATAGAATGGGCGACCATTAGTAGGTTTATTATCTCGAGCTTCTTTCTCCTTGCTTTGGAAGGCACTTTAATATGCACTGGACCCGCTTGGTGGGTCATAGTCTGTACTCTAGCATTGGGGACGATAATAGGATAATGATGTGGGTAATTTACTGTACCCAGGGTCTGATTTACCCACAGGCTAATAAGGCTGGAGCCTAGGGCGCAAGGACCAAGGGGGCGACCGGCGGGTCCGGCGCTGAGCTGAGACATAATAATATTACTGAATTTTGGTAAAATACGTGCGTTAAAATAAAATTCTAGCTTGCGCTCTGACACAAATTAAAAACCATAGATGGGTAGACGACAACATCACGAACAAAATTATTGTTATATCAGAATGATTTTTTATAATATTTTATTTTTGACAATATTATTGTGCAAGTATTAGCCAGCGATAAGCAAGGAAACGGAGTTCTCAATAAAATTCTCAAAGTAATAGAGCTATAATTGTTGCAAGGATGTTTTTTCTTTTATATTTTTTGGACTAAATACATAGATTGTAACAATTAGTGTTGGAATCATTTGGTTCCTTTCATCTTTCGTTTAGAGGAGGGCGGAGCTTTTTAAATAAGTTTGGTAAGCTTTTAGTTCTTTGGAACCTCTTCTTTCTGACGGTACTGAAAATTTTCTCAGAAATAGAAATGCCTCGCCCCGATTCTCGACCTTTTATGGAGAGTGAAATGGGTTAATCGCAATTTTCGGGAAAACTACAACTAGGTACTATCGAAAAAACTTCAAGGGCAGAATTGTAGGTAATGAAAAGATCTACCTGAAGTGGGTAATTTTAATTTATCGCAGATTTTTTTAAAAAAAAGTTGTAAGTAGATCCTTTAACTACTTATAATTTTTGCTGTTGTAGTTTCCCCGAAAATCGCGATAAATCTTCCTTTTTTGCTCTCAAAAATTACTGTTTGATCCAATGATGTTAGGGTAAGTAAGCTCTCTTCTGTAGGTAACTAAGTACTTGTTCTCTAATTAATTGCATCTTTAAATGAATGAAAAGGTAGGACAGGACAGGCAGGGCGGCGCATATTAGTAGTTAGCCTAGGGCGGTCAGTACTCTAAATCAGGCCCTGACTGTACCTAATACGTAATCTACAACTTTGAGGTTTCAGGTTCAGGTTCTTGGTTCGAATTTCGGTTGGGTAGATTATTTTAATTTTTTTTGGAACCATCTTATCATCTAAATATAGTTTATGAAAATTACAGGAACGATCGGACCCAAAAACAACTTCTTTGATATGTTTGAAGTGCTTTACCGAAAGTATGGTTCTGTTGTGAAAATGGAAGGGATGCTCGCAAAAGGAACAATGGTTATGTTCTTTGAACCTGATCATTACGACAAGGTACTTTAAGATGAAATCATTTCTAATGAAACTAAGAAGTACTTACCTCCCACATATAGGAGCACTGCCAGTTAATTTAATTGACATCATTTAAGATTTATAGGGCTGAGGAGATGCCTGCGCCATATCGAAGTGGGTTTCAAGCTTTAGAATATTACAGAGAGGAACTTCGCAAGGACAGATTTAATGGAGTCTACGGATTGACAACTGCGTAAGTATAATATTTACTAAATAAGTACAAGATAATGACAAAATGTAATTAATTACCTATTATAAATTATTATAATATTTGCAGACAAGGTAAAAAATGGCGAGATTTCCGTACCAAAGTGAATCCGGCGTTGCTAAAACCCAAAATAGTTAAACTGTATGCGCCAGGACTTGAAGAGATAGCGGATGATTTAGTGGCACGGTAAAAAAAGCAAAGGCATTTTAAATTTGGTATCGATTATCATTTGTTATGTACTAAACTTGAAATTTTAGATTGTGGTCAATAAGGGAAGACCCTGCAGCGCTATCAAAAGAATTTGAAACGGAAATCACAAAATGGTCCCTCGAGTCGGTTGCGTTAGTATGTCTCGGCAAACGAATTGGTTGTTTACAAGACAACCTTAGTGATGATCACCCGGCTAAGAAGTTGATGCATTGCTCCAAAACTGTACCTGATTTATCATTCAAACTGGAGTTCGCACCAAAATTCATTAATATGCGCAACTCTTCTTGGTTTAAAGAGCTAATGAAAATTTTCGACACGCAATGGGAGTAAGTATACAATACATTATTTTAATTACTTTAAATTAAGATCAATTCCACATTAAGTCCGGTCATTTGTTTATAGAGTTAGTGAAATGTATATAGAGCAAGCGAAAAAAGCAATCAACGAACGCGGTCACGGTATTCCAGAAGAGGATCAGAGCATTCTTGAGAAGCTGCTCGCTATTGACGAGAAAGTAGCAGTCATGATGGCTAACGAAATGTTGTTTGCTGGAATCGATACTGTAAGTTTTTAATACCGTGGCATCGGGTCGCGGGCAAAGATAATGAATATATGTCTATGGTCACGGGCTCCACCATGCAGATCGCGCCTATTTGAAATGCTCCTTATCGTACAGACTTTTACATCGGACCTTGACCACAGATCGCCTAATTATTGGGGAAGCCTTAATATCTCTTTCTCAAGTCCCAACTATGAAATGAAAAGGATGGCAGAAAGTAAATAAGTTACTTAAATATTTCTGTAAAGTATCTAAACAGTCATTAGCATATTTGCAAAGGATTTTTTTTTATACAGGTGAGTTACGCTGTTACTGGTCTTTTGTATAACCTGGCAGTCAACAAAGTAGCGCAAGATAAACTACGCCAAGAGATTCATGCCCAAGCAGGAAGTAAATACCTGAAGGCATGTGTGAAGGAGTCTTTGAGATTGTTACCAGTGTTGTCAGCCAATTTAAGACAAACAACTAAAGAACATATAGTGGCAGGATATCAAATCCCAGCAGGAGTAAGTTTTACTACAAAATTTGAATATCCGTTAATAGAAAACAAAAATAAAACTTGGTCAAGACAAGTCAAGGAATATATGTGATATTGTAGCAATTTGATCTGCTTTAAATCACTCGTTAAATCACTTGACTTGATATTTTATATTAACATTTAAATATGTAATTTCAGACATTTGCAATAGCTCCAAATGAATATTTGTCGAAATTGGAGAAATATTATCCACAAGCTCGAGAATTCATCCCAGAAAGATGGTTGGTGGACAAAGAAGACCCCCTTTACTATGGAAATGCACATCCTATGGTTACATTACCTTTTGGATTTGGAGTTAGATCATGCATTGGCAGAAGAATTGCAGAATTAGAAATAGAAATATTGGTGAAAAAATTACTAGATAAAGTTGAAGTGCAATGGACTGGACCCCCACTGAAAGTTGTGATTAAAGTTATCAATAATTTCAAAAAGCCATACCATTTTAAATTTGTAGAAGCCAAATAACGATTTTTACCAAATCAACATACAATTGTATATAAAATAATTCTTGGGATGGATAAAAGTAATAAAAATATGAAAGTTATGATGGTTTTCTATATTTTCCTTGGATCCAAACTCTGTACATTGTCAACATTTTACCCCTGTTAACTTGCAATCTTCTATCTACAAGATTCTGTTCTTCTAGAAATCCAGTTTCTTTGAATAGGTGTGAAACTTCCTCTTGAGTGAAGAAATATACTTTTGTTCTATCACCACGAGCATAAAAATTGTCAGATATACAACGGCCTTTTTTAAATCTTAGTTGAGCCAAATCATAACGACCATAATCTCGGAATACAACCAACCCACTAGGTTTCAAATATTTGTATATGTTAGTTATAACAGTTTTCATTCTGAGAAAAAAAGTAAAGCTATTTTTAAAACTTTTCTATAAACAAATTCACATTATAAAAATAAAATACAATTGCTACTTACTTTGTGGGATCAATGGCTGATAGAACAAATATTAGAACAATGATATCTAGAGAGTTTTTGTCAAATGGTACATCCCATTCTTCTTTGGTTGCATCTAAGACAAACACACTGCATCGATTTGTGTCATACAATTCATTTTCTTTCATTATCTCAATGGCTTTTGATGAAAAGTCACATCCATAAATAAAGAGGTTGGGATCTCTACTATATTGTAGAATAGGAAAGATGGTATTTCCAACACCACAGCCAATTTCAAATATGTATCGTTTGACATTAATATCCTGTTCCATATGGGTGAGACAAGGATTTGTGAGTTCTGGTTTTTCTGTCATAACACTTTCATTGTCACTTGGATAAACTCTGAGTGGAGCAGATGTATTGTCAGGAGCTAACTCAGGAAATTCAGTAAACAACCAGTGCCGATCTTTGAAAAATCTGCAATGAATAATAAAAATAAAATAAGCATGAATTCTAAAAAAAAATTTTTTTTAGTGTCTGTATTTGAACCAGCACCTTTTGCTATCCTGAATGATGCACTAACTGCTATACTACAGAGACCTTGATGTTATAATATTTACAATCTTTTAATTTTAATTCTATAGATAATAAATACTACTAGACAAAACCTTCAAATACATATTTTTTTATGGAGGACAAGAAAAGTTACCCTACCATACTTGATGTCAAAAATGTTTATAGTCTAATTGCAAAGATAGTTGAGTTACACTGATTCATACCTGTTTTGGTGGATGTCATAAAATGTATCCCAGTGTTTATCTGCATTTAAATCCAAATCTTTCAATGAGTCTTCAGTGAATGTTATTTGAGAATTTAATTCAACTTTTTGTTTGGCCGCTTTTTCCTGTTCCTCATCCCATTGCACATTATCCCTGTAAAGCATTACAAATACTTACAAAAGTGTTTTTATACAACTTACATGTTATTCGATGATTGTGTTAAAAAAGCATGATTGTGTTGCATTACCATGCATTGAATAAGTAAGTAAGACTTTTATCATTTAAATGTCGTGAACCTCCAGGTGGTTTCTTTCTGTTCCTAGTTTTTTCTAAGTCCTGGGCGTGTTGACTGCGCTGTTTGTTTGAACAATATCTAATAAAAACGTATACGATACCACGCGTTATGTTTGAAGACTTCGTCAACATTTTCTAACAGTCGGTTTCCAAATTGAGGTCTTTTTTCAGTAGTGTCTTCCATTTGAATTCGAAATCAGCCTTAATGCTTCTTTTACAATTATTTTATAGATTAAATCACAGACCAAGAAGAGAACAAGGATTAAATTAAATTCTTGCAATCCTAAACTCACACACACAACTTTTCTTGTTTTTTTTTAGTTCTATTTTTTTTTTTTTGGTTAATTTGTCCCTGTTGGGACGGGCAAAGGATTCTGAGTCCATACAGCCCTGTCTGTTAACTTTTCTTTCTTAAAGTGTTTTGATTGTAGCTTTTATAAATTTGTATAAAGGAATGTAGGTGTCTTTATTTTGTAAAAGTTTTCTCAAGTCGCGCGGGATGGTTTCTTCGCCAAAAGTACTTCGAAGGTCTTGAAGCAGCAAATTTCTCTGTACTTGAAATGAACCGCAAAAGAAAAAGATATGGTCCAAGGACTGATTATCTATGTTGCAGAAGTTACAAACAGGTGAGCTGACCATCTTTAGCCGGTACAGGTGATCTTTAAAAAGGCAATGACCTATTCGAAGTCTGCTTAAAGTGGTATAAAAATCTCTCGTCCTGTACTGTCCTTTATCAAACCAGGAGGTACGTATGTCTTTCTGAATTTCTCCAAACCATTTTCCTTTCTCTTGCAGAGATACCTTCCAGTGGTCGAGCCATTGGGTCTTGATTTCTTGTTTGAGGTTAGGCATGAGATCTGTATATGGTACAGCTATATCTCTCACAGCACATCTGTCGTTTCTCACTACAGCGGTACAAAGAGCATCAGCATCTTCATTTCCATGAACTCCGATGTGTGAAGGCGTCCAAAAAAAGGCCACTTTAATATTCTTCTGCTGTAAGTTTCCTAATTTAATTCGTATCAATTCAATGATATAATTTGTGTCAGCTCTGTAGGTGTGGTTCTGCAATGCATAAAGCACACTTTGACTATCTGTTACTACTAGCCACTTTTCTATATTACACTCAATATCTTCCATATAGCTTAATCCTTCTAAGATGGCTAGAGCTTCTGCAGTAAAAATAGAACAGTGGGGATTTATCTTAACACCAAAGCCAGTTTTCTTGTGAGGGATGTAAATAGCAATTCCAGTAGATGTAGCAGTTTTTGAACCATCTGTGTATATTTTTTTATAACTTGACCATTTATACAACTCTCTATATACATCTTGCTTAGTTTGCAACTTGTTATCAATATCAACTTGAATGTCATTAAATTTAATATCATAGTTACCCCAGTAACAAGGCCAATTCATATATCTTTTTACAATATTATAATAATTGTTATATAAAGTATTTACATTTTCAGAAATAAATGGACAATTAACGTTGTTTGTGAAACCTAATATTTTTGGGAGTAGTCTGTTGTTAAGGACAGAAAATTGTTTTAAAATATATTTTTTTCTTAAATAGTGAAATCTGAATTTAAGAGGTTCAATATTACATTCAATCTGTAATGAATTGATTGGTGATGTATTCATTGCACCAATGATAAGTCTTAGACATTTATTTTGTATTTTTTCCAATTTTTCTATACACTGGTTTAAATTTGAATAAAATAAAAATCCATATTCGAAATGGCTCCGAACAAGTGATTTATATAGAAGTTTTAATATTTTTGGATCTGAACCCCATGAAGTTTTCGCTAAACTTCTCAAAATATTAAATGCTCTATTAGCACGATCAATTATATTTAAAACATAGGACTTGAAAGACAAATTACTACTAAATATCACCCCTAAAAACTTTACATTATTTACAACAGGCAAAATTGAATTATCATATATAATATTTACATTTACTGAACATTTTATTTTGCTAAAAACAACTACTTTACTTTTTTCTGGGCTAATTTTCAAATGTAGTGAATCAAAGTATGATTTAAGTCTTGTTATTGTGTGGTTCAATTTATCAACTGATTCCTGAATACTGTTAGAGCTACAGTAAATAGCTAAATCATCAGCAAACTGCAAATTATATACACTAGTTCCTAAGATTATATTAAGCTTTCTTATATACAAAATGAAAAAAAGAGGACTTAAAATGCTACCTTGACAACTACCTTTAAATGAGTATTTAGGGCCATACAGCATAGAATTATATTTAACAAAAACTTTTCTACCATTTATGAAATTAAAAATCCAATTTATGACTTTTGCAGGTAATCCAATGGAATTTAGTTCCGAACATAAAACTTGGTGGTTAATGTTGTTAAAAGCACCAACTATATCAAAGAAGACACAAAGAAGTGCTTTGTCATCTGAGAAAGCTTTCAGAATATCCAGATGAAGATGACATATACTATCCCGAGTGGATTTCCCTCTCCTGAATCCAAATTGGTTGTCAGGTAAAATTCCATATTTCTCTATATAGAACTCTAGTCTCTGTTTAAGCAACTGTTCAAATATCTTACCAACACATGAAGATAAGACTATGGGGCGGTATGAATCAACTAAACCTGGTTTCTTGTTTGGTTTCAAGATAGGGACTATACAATCTGTTTTCCAAGAATCAGGAATTTCATCGTGGATCAATAATGAATTGAAGATATATAAAAAGGTTTGAAGTGAACTATCATTTAGTTCCTTAAACATGCGATAAGATATCCAATCTAGTCCACATGCAGTATTTTTACGAGATTTTAAGCCACTTTGAAGTTCTTGCAAAGAAAAAGGGTGTACAATAAAGTTATTGGTGTCATTTAATTTATGTCCTAGTAATACAAAAGGAGAAGTTTCTGAATCATTGTCTTGGGTATACTTGTTTAGAAAGGGGGTGACCCACTTATCTGAAAAGCTTTTACTACCAGGAGAAGTACTATTAAATTTTCTCATATATTGCCATATAAACTTAATGGGAGTATTTCTATTAAAAGATTCACAAAGACTTTGCCAACTTTTTTTTTGCTCAAGTTTAAGGATCATTTTTTTACGTGCTTGTAACCTTTTGAAATTTACATAATTTTCTGGTGTAGAGTTGGATTTAAATAAAGTATATGCTTGCTTTGAAGCTTTCACTGCCTCACTACATGTGATGTTCCACCATGGAACTGTTAACTTAGACTTTTTATGAGGTAATCTATTGTTTGACCCAGATATGGGTCTTTGAGGACTTGATTCAGCAACTGCTTCATGTAGTACACCACAGAAACTGTTATATGAGTCAATGACATTATCCATTATGTTAAAAGATTGGAGCTTCTGATTTACTAAAATTGAATATTTTTTCCAGTCTATTAACTTAAGATTATAATGAATTGGAATGTTAGATGATGAGTTTGCATAGGAATGTGATTGTAGTGATATTTCTGTCATAACAGGGAGGTGATAACTTCCAAGAGGATCATCATGGACTTCCCAATTGCACGCAAGAGCAATGGAAGAAGAAACAATAGTGAGATCTATAGCACTTGGCCTCCAACTAGCAGAACCTACTGTTGTGGCCCTGCCATCATTTAATAGAAATAAATCATTGTTTTCAACTATGTCACTAATGTCTCTACCACGGTTATCAGTTGAGTGGCACCCCCACAAGGTATTGTGGGCATTAAAATCACCAGCAACTATCATTGGCTCAGGGATCAGCTTTATTAAATTATCTAATTTATTTTTACAAAAACTAGGTGTACTATAAGGAGGACAATAAATACTTACTATGGAAAGATCTGTATTATGGAATCTTACTTGAATAGCTATGTTTTGAATAGAGTTATCAAATGTAGTATCTATTGTCTGAAAGGGGATATCGTTTCTAATGACAATTGCAACACCATTGTGTCTATTACCAGAGTCCAACTACTACTGTGTAGCCTCTTATTGTAAAATTTAATTCGGGTCTCAACCATGTTTCACATAATAATGCTACATGAATGTCTTGTTCATATAAAAAATGATTAAGACAATTTTTATTGCATAATATGCTCTGAGCATTCCACTGGATAACCCTTAAAGCCATTATTTAATTTTGTATGATGTTACTACTTCTCTAAGAGCTTCTTTAATGTTACTGGAATTTGTTACACCGCTTGCCTTAATTTTAATTAGACTTTGTACAAGAATATTTACAATATGGTCATTTATCAACAATTTGGTGAAGTCATGTTCATTGTCATTTTGTTTTTTACTATGTAATGCAGGAAACTGCTTAGTATTTAAGATGTCAATATATGGTACTGGATTATTAATTTTTCTTTTATTTTCAATAATTTTTTGCTTGTTTATAGGACAGTTACTATCTATGGCTATATGGCTACCTTTGCAATGAAAGCAGATAAGTATTTGACTATCACATTCTCTATAGTTATGACTACCTGCACATTTCGAGCATTTTGTGGCATTTTTGCAAAATGCAGCTGTATGACCATATAATAAACAATTAAAGCATTGTTTTATTGGAGGAACATATTTTTTCACGGGAAAAAGCCATGAGTTTAATTCTACTGATTCTGGCAATGTGGTTGATGCGAATGTAATTGAGATTGTTTGCGTTGGTTGCAATGTAGTTGCGCCACTATCGTTCTTTACTCTACGCATAAACCTACGAATAGATATAATTTTTTTTGAACAAGTTAAATGTTTATATAATTTAGCATTGCTATAATCAATAGGTACGCTCGTTATTACCCCAATTTGCTCAGATGCAGAAGCTGGAATACTGGCTTGTAATCTGTGCTGTTTGAAAAAATCTTTATTCTGGAGTGCTGCATTAGCCATAGTTGGTTTGTCAAAAATAATTCCAAACTTGAATTTATTAATTCTTTTAAATTGTTTAATCCCCTTCATATTTCTTTGGAATATGTTGGACAGATACATAAGGTCTCTATTGCCTACTGGTCTAGCATCATCAGTACTTGATATGAAAACTATAAACTCTGTACCACCTGCGTTTTCTGAGTAGGACCGGACATAATGCGGTAATACAAAGGGTTTGTACTTCACTGTAGGAGATTCTTGATCTATTTCGTCGAATCCAGAAAGATTTTCGGAAGATGTAGAACCGGAGCTCGAAGCAGCATCTTCGTCGACAGGATTATCCCCATCACCACCAGGTTTTCGTTTCCGCTTTTTAAATTTAACTCTGCCCATGTCAGCAGAGTTGAAACAGTATTCTTCAGATAACTTTTAAGTGTTTTATAACAATAAA